AGCTTGTTTCTCAACTTCAGATCCAGACGTCCGACGACTAAAATCTTTCATCTGGTTCAAACAACGAGCTGAAAACCACCGAGGTGTAAAAAGTGTCTGTGGCTTAAAACGGGATCAAAGTCAATGTTGAGCTTCTGTCAGGAAACCAGAAAACACTGCCACCTGATCATAGAGGGTATGATGTCACTGACAGGCGACCAATGAAACGTCACCATGATTAAAATCACAGATTTGAGAATTGATGGAAACATTAGAGATAATGTAAGAACACGACTCGACAACATACAGATCATAGAACTTCTTGTTTTCAGACGTTTTACTGTGGAAAAGTTTCAGATTAAAACTTTGAAGTGTTTGTGTGAGAAAGACTAAAAGACAGACCACGAGTCCACCTGACGAGCTGATGAACAGACACCTACAGGTTAATAGGTTGTCTATGTTTACTGGGAAAGCAAGATGAACACACACACACACACACACACACACACACACACACACACACACACTTAGTGCCCGCTGGTTGGCCTGATCCCCTCCGTGCTGCTGGGTCAGAGGTCACACTGTGCACGGCCAACAGCCTGCGGTTAATCTATGAGGGCGCCACATAGAAAACCTGCTGTCTGCTGGATCCATATCATAATCTGTGTCTTCCTCAGTTTTCTCTTATTAGATCATTTTCAACAGGAATGTAAACAGGAAACACGGAGGAAGAGAAGGACCGGTTCTTAACTTCAACAAATAAATCTTCAGACCTGAGTCAGTGCACAGGTACATTACTACACTTCCTGTAGTGACGTGTGTAGAAACTTTCTCCCTGACCAAATGAAACTACAGTCTGCGACGCAACAGAAACACACTGAGTTAATGTGGACCAGACTAATTCCTGGAAAGAGTAGTTCTACTGCTGCAGGGAGTAAAGGAGTGAGAAGATTTACTGGTTAAACTGGGAAATCTGCCGCGGAGCCACCGCTCTGTTTACTGGTAGGACGGACACACACACACACACACACACACACACACACACACACACACACACACACACACACACACAGCAACAATACGCTCAAATGAACACACATGCATATACAGATGCCGACAGTAAAACACACACAAACACAAGCTGATATAAACTTGAGCCTGCACATGCACACACATGCACACACATGCACGCACACACACAGAGACACACACACACACAGGCATTATGAGAGCCTAGTGAAGCTGAAAAGCAGATTTCCATTCGATCACCAGTCTTCAACACCTAAAGATCAGAGGTCACCCGTCAGATACACTGTTGGCCAGTTCGCTGACACACACACACACACACACACACACACACACACACACACACACACACACACACACACACACCAAACTAGCTGTGTGTTTGATGTGGATGAAGCTTGTGTGTTTACAAGCCGCTCAGCTGATACAGACAACAGTAACAGAAGCTTTACCGTTGATGCTACATCTGTGTGTGTGTGTGTGTGTGTGTGTGTGTATTTTTTAAAGCTACAGCCACACACATCAACTGTTTAAGTTCATTTACTTTCTATGTCGTTGTCACTTCGTCATCAGTGGTCAAACCTCAGAATATGTACGAGATAATTCTGGCGGACTCACCCGAACGAGTAGAGCTGACTGGGCTTCTTCATGGTGACCCAGGAGCTGATGAGACAGGTGATCAAACTGCAGGTGAGGTGAAGGAGGCAGGGTGATGGCAGGGAAAGAGAAGAGCAGGTGATTGATGGAGGGGACGGGAAACACAGAGGGACACAGAGGGAGGACGGACAGGAGAGGAGAGTCGGTGAGAGACGAGACAACACAGAGGTCAGCACAAGTTCACTTCTTCTTTAATTGATCTTCTATTCATTAAAGTCCCACAATCCATTTTCCATGAGCAGAAGTTCTGATGGAGAACAGGAAACCGAGCGGACGCAGTGGCACCTCACGTCCGACTCTTTATTTCTCAAAGTCCAACATAAACAACACACATGAACCGATTATTATCAATAATCACTTTCAATTAATCAATTAACTGTATGGTCTGTAAGATACTGGATAATGTAGTTTTAAATTTGTCCAAATAAACCCAGAGAGATTCAACTTCCTGTCACATAAAACAGAATAAAGCAGGAAGTCCTCACATCTGATTCTTTATTTCTCAAACTCCAAAATAAACTACACACGTCACAATTATTATCAATATTATCAATAATCACATTCAGGTCATCAAATAACTGTTTGTTCTGTAAGATACTTCCATTAAATTCAATTTATACTGGATAATTTGGTCTTTAAATGGAATTTGTCCAAATAAATCCACAGTTTAAATCCCAGACAGATTCAATATGAAACAAACTAAAGCTTTCTGATTGGGGTATTGATCATTTATTACAGTGAGATTTGTTCCTCTCTGGTGACTGGTGTGTAAAAGGCGAGATCATGTACACTCACCTGAAGAGGTCAAAGATGGTGAGGTACGTGTAGGCAGTTAAGGCTGAAACGACAAAACAGACACACAAAGACCATCGTGATTAAAATACAAAATATTCTGCTTCATTAACACAGATATGAGTTTAAAGCTCCATGTTTCCTCTTCTTCTGTGTTTTATTTGAAGTGTTGATCCATCAGAAGATATAAAAACCATCTCAGTGTAGTTTTACATCTCCTCTCTCAGGCTTCTCTCTGCAGCTCTAGTAACAACAGGTCTGTGAGCCAATCAGAAGAGAGGAGGCTCTGAGCCTCTCTTCTGATTGGCTGACTGTTTTCTGAGTGATCCAATAAAAATAAAGCAGATTTCAGGTAAAAACACTCAGAGAAACCAAATCCTGCAAGGTTTGGATGGTGGGTCCAGGTGGGCGGGGCTTGGTGACTGCTTTGTTGTGACATCACAAAGTTCCAGAAGTCCTGACGGCTGGTTTTAAGGCTCAGTTTCTGAATACAGGCTGTGTGCATTTCTCTGTGGACTGAGGCTTTGATACTTTCACAGTATTAATATAGAAGCTAGACCTGATCTATAATCACACTACACATGGACACAGACCTTTACACTGGAGGAGCTTTAGAAGCAGAGGCAAACACATCTGGACACGACGGGACCTCAGCCTTTGAGTCAGACACTTTGTTAGCCAACAAGTTTGTCTGCCAGCTACTGAATCTGTCATTCTTTTTCTTTTTTAAACGAGTCACTCACCTGGCTGACAGAAACCTGGCCAGCAGCCAGTCAGCCAGCAGGTAAGCTGAAGAGTCAGTTAGCAGGTTAGTAGGCCAATTAACCCGCCAGCCAACAAGCCAATAAACCAATCAGCTCGTTAACCAGCCAGCGAGAGAGCGAGAGAGGGACAGAGAGGGAGAGAGAGATTCCAACTGGCCTGGCTTAAACACTCACTGCCAACCTGCCTCTCTCTCTGCCTGTCTGCCTGTCTGTCCCTCTGTCTGCCTGTCTGTCTCTCTGTCTGCCCGTCTGTCTGCCTTAATGCCTTCCAACCAGCTTTCTGTAATCAGGCTCTGCTGTGGGGGATGAGGAGAGCGGATTAGAGCGGCTTTGTGCTGAGAGGAACATTTTGTTTCCCCACCACCGGCGTCCATGTTGGCCAACCTGACGCCATGTAATCCTGACAGAGAGGCCCGCGGCAAAAACCCGCAGAGACAGACGGGCAGAGAGAGAGAGAGAGACAGGCGGGAGGACTGAGGCCGAGTGACAGATCGACGGCCGGAGAGAGAGAGACGGAGGCTAAGAGGAAGACAGATGGATGGACTGAGAGATCGAGGCAGATAGACGAGACAGAGAGAGAGGTGAGAAGGCAGATAGACAGGATGATGGACATGTAGACAGACAGGTAGATGGAGGGAAAGTGAATGAGCGAGAGAGAGAGAGCGAGAGAGACAACCGCCAACACACCGCTGAGAGAGGAAACTAAAAACTACAGAATAAACCAAATCAAATCAGCCACGTTTTAAATCAAAAAGAAAAGGAAACGAAGTCACTGTGAATCCTGTTCGAATGTGAACATGAGTTCATGTTACACTGAATATCTACAGCAGCTCAATGTGCAAACCACAGCACGGATCGTCGCTTTCAATACAGAACAAGTCAGAATGAATGCAGTCCCAATGACAAACAGGCGGACATTTTTACATGAAAGCACGTCGGCCAAATCGCGACGTCTTAAACACTTGAAAAGCTGCGGCCTAACCCCGGGAGTCATTCGGAAGCAGCAGGGAACTTTTCTGGATTTATTAGATAATGACAGGTGAAAATATTTTTTGCAAAGTGGCGGGAATGTGGTGGAACACCGAGACGAGAGAGCTGCCCTCCCTTCAGGCCGAGGACGAGACGACCAGGTGCTTTAACAGGACGGTCACAGTCATGTGTGATAGCGTCCTGTGGCTCTTCATGTAACGTGCTTGGCAGGTCTGTATGACGCCATGAGGAACATTAGCACAGACGTCATCCAGGTGTGAACGACACAAAGCCGTCACTTTAAGCGCTTGGTAAAAGGAGCCGGTACAGATTGTATTTCCTGATTTGTTCAGAGATTCAAATCGTCTGGAGAAGCAGCTCAATGAGTTTTAAAATGAAAGTTCAAAACTTATTTCTTCACTTCAGCCTTTAACTCGCTCTGAAATTTGCACTTTGCGCCACATTAATGCTGCTCAGCTCTTCTGCTTAATGATTCATTATTTTATCTCATTTCACATTAATGTTTTTCATTTTAGATCAAAGCTTTTAACCATGTTTCACGTGAAGCACTTGGTGCTACATTTCTTGTATTAAAGGTGCTTTACAAATAAAGTTTATCATCATTATTATTATTAATATTATTATTATGGTGTTGTGTTTAATGAGGATGATTTGTAGTAATGGACCAATCAGATAAAAGCAAAGTCATCTGTTTACATGCCGAAGCTACTGAGCTACATCTGTAGTTTGAGATGCTGCACATCTGTACGGGATGTTCAGCTGAGTCCTCCTGATTCTGTGGACGCACAAAACTAAACGTACTCTTTTAAGTAAACAATAGTATGAGCAGTTTTATAATTATATATAAGTATCATATAAACTTATAATTAATTCTGGTCTCACGTCGTACAGCCGGGTTGAGGAAATCCTTCAGTATCTTTCACCTTCTTTAAATTAGACAATATATTTTAGGGTTGTAAGTTTTTTACATGACAACAGCGACATCTTTATCATGTTTTAATAACTGTAGACTGTTAACTTGTGAAGCAGCAGAGTGAAATGTAGAAGACAAAAAGTCTCCACGTCGCTTCCTGACTTTGTTTCTCAGGCAGATCGTTTTGAAACCTTCAGTCCTCTTCGCTGTTTAAAGTCCATTTTTCTTCTTCTGCAGCGTCCTGTTATTTTGATATGAGGCGGCTCGTCTCTCCGCGGGGATCAATGAGGGTTGATGTCGTCTTGTTGTGTTGAATTAAAAGCAGAAGACGATAAAAGCAATAATAATACAAACGCTGACATCACAGCGACCCTGAAACAGGCCGGGAACCGGATCGATAACCGGGCTGAAATTTCCCCTCGCTGTGCCTGGATAGGTTTACATAGAGACCGCAACACACACACACACACACACACACACACACACACACACCCACACACACACACACACACACACACACACACAGAACCTGGTTCAATTCTTCTATAAATCTCCTGCTTACAAACACTGACACCCAGAGGACGTGAGGACGTGATACCAGAGCAACAAACAGCAGACACGACATTATTCATCTCTAACACACTGACTCAATAACAGGTTCAGATGATATGTACATGAAACACACACACACACACACACACACACACACACACACACACACACACACACACACACACACACACACAACACACCACACACACAAACACACACACACACACCACACACACAACACAACACACACACACACACACAGCTGCCCCACAGGACCTGAACTCAATACCTGGAACAGAATGAGGGATTAAAATCCTTGTGTTTGTTTTCAAAAGTGATCGATAGAAGAGAGGAGGAGAGGAGAGAGGAGGAGAGGAGGAGAGGAGGAGAGGAGGAGAGGACAGGAGAGGAGGAGAGGACAGGAGAGGAGGAGAGGACAGGAGAGGAGGAGAGGACAGGAGAGGAGGAGAGGACAGGAGAGGAGGAGAGGACAGGAGAGGAGGAGAGGACAGGAGAGGAGGAGAGGACAGGAGAGGAGGAGAGGACAGGAGAGGAGGAGAGGACAGGAGAGGAGGAGAGGACAGGAGAGGAGGAGAGGACAGGAGAGGAGGAGAGGACAGGAGAGGAGGAGAGGACAGGAGAGGAGGAGAGGACAGGAGAGGAGGAGAGGACAGGAGAGGAGGAGAGGACAGGAGAGGAGGAGAGGACAGGAGAGGAGGAGAGGACAGGAGAGGAGGAGAGGACAGGAGAGGAGGAGAGGACAGGAGAGGAGGAGAGGACAGGAGAGGAGGAGAGGACAGGAGAGGAGGAGAGGACAGGAGAGGAGGAGAGGACAGGAGAGGAGGAGAGGACAGGAGAGGAGGAGAGGACAGGAGAGGAGGAGAGGACAGGAGAGGAGGAGAGGACAGGAGAGGAGGAGAGGACAGGAGAGGAGGAGAGGACAGGAGAGGAGGAGAGGACAGGAGAGGAGGAGAGGACAGGAGAGGAGGAGAGGACAGGAGAGGAGGAGAGGAGAGGAGAGGAGAGGAGGAGAGGAGAGGAGGAAAGGAAAGGAAAAGAAAGAGGAAGTTTTCGTTCTTTTAGCTTCATTTTATCTTTCACTGTTTTTCTTTTTGTCGTTTTGCTTTTCATTTCCTTTAAAACAGCAAGAGTGTTTTAGGGATGAGAAGTAAGGAAGGAGAGAAGGAAAGGAGGCAGGAAGGAAAGTATATAAGGATTTAAATAGGGAGGAAGGAAGGAAGTTAGGAAGGAGGGAGGGAGGGATAGACAGATGAGAGAGGAGAAATACGAGCAGAGGGATAAATATTTAATGCTGTCTGCAGAGGAGCAGCCCAAACACACACACACACACATCCACCTATCTACACACAACACAACACCAACACCACCACACACACACCACCAGCCACACACACACACACACGGTTATAGCGAAGTAAAAGAAAACAAACTTAAAGCTGTGAAACTTTTTACATATAAAATAACGTCAGTTCACATTAGACCAAACGGTTCACTTCACACTCTCTCTCTCTTAAAGGTGGTAGTGACTGCGATCTTACATCAAGCACGCCAACCAGGGCGCTGGAGCCATGGGTACGGAGACAGTGTTGTGCAGTGACTTGAATCGAATCATGAAGACCCTCTAGAGTCTTTAAGGGCCGAGGGAAAGTGTGCAAGCGTTCATCAAATTAATATGAAATAGAATTTTATGAGAATTACAAAATGTAAAAAATGTTTGATATTGTAAAAGTGTTCATGTTTGTAGGTTTTGAAAATATGGACATAAAGAACAAATAAGAACCTAAATAAAAAACTAAAAATACTTCG